TCGGTTATACTGCGTGGGGCATCAGGTGGTATTCCGGTGATCAGGTCTGCAGGCAGCCGCAATTCTCTCCCAAAGTTTGCGAAAGCTGGTGTCACTGATGTACTTTCGTGAACAGCGCTTCGATATGACAACAAAAACGGTTGTATGTGCCTGTCCCAGTCTCGTTGCCGTTTTTCCACAACTTTTGCTAGGTACCTCTCCAATGTCTGATTAAATCTTTCTACCATTCCATCAGATTGTGGGTGGTAAGAAGTTGTTCGTGTTTTCTGAGTACCCATAACTCGGCAAGTTTCCTGGAATATTTGAGACTCAAAATTCCTTCCTTGATCGCTGTGAATCTCTAAAGGTACTCCAAAACGACAGAAGACTTCATGAACTAGTTTATCTGCAACTGTTGAAGCTTCTTGATTTGGAATGGCGAAGACTTCTGGCCACTTAGTGAAGTAATCCATCACTACCATGAAATACTTGTTACCACTTTCAGTTTCTGGAAACGGCCCCGCAACGTCAATGGCTATCCTCTCCCATGGTGCACCAACATTGTACAATTTCAATGCGCCTCTACTACGAATTTGAGGTCCCTTTACAGCCGCACAACTTGTACATTTGCGGCACCAGTCCTCGACATCGTCACGACAGTGGACCCAGTAAAACCGTTCTCGGATCTTCAGGAGAGTTCGCTTAACTCCTAGGTGGCCTCCTGAACAACCACTATGGTACAGCTGTAGGACATCCGGTACTTTAGCCTTAGGGACAACCATTTGCAAATGACACCTGTCTCCCCGACCATTTTCCCATTTACGGCACAGGACTCCATCCTGAATCAGCAAGCTGTCCCATTGGGCCCAATAGCTTTTCGTGGTCGAACTCATTGCTGAGACGTCGCTCCACTTGGGCTTAGGAGCACTGGCCTTCATCCATTCCAGAATCGGCTTGATGTCCGAATCTTCCTGCTGTGCATGTTGTAGGCTGTCCTTCCATTCATTGCTGAGCTGGTCTGTCCTGAATATCCTCGCAGATCCCACTTCTGACGCCAATTGTTACGAGCTTGGGATTCGAGACAATTAAGAACTGCCGATTGAATTACCAAAATTGACACTTTAATTACACAATACTAATTACAATCTAAAATTACACTAATAATAAAACACAGTTCGCCGTTATTTCGCTTCGAAGTAATCTCTTGTATCGCCAATTCAATACTGCCCCGGTCGTGGTCTATACCGGCCTTATATAGGGCCTCAGATAGTTTCCAGAACCTTCTACTGTAGCGACATCTAGAATGTTCGAGTACATATCGGTCCCGAAATTTCTGGAAGGATCTCGACTCTCCTAGTTCTGCTACTCGACACTAGAGGGCGCTAGTGTAACTAGTGTTGCCATGTACAAGACATTAATAGTGGCGCGCAACACTTTAATTTACTCGACACTAGGGGGCGCTAGTGTAACTAGTGTTGCCATGTACAAGACATTAATAGTGGCGCGCAACAATATTAATAGCAAGGAATTAAGTGCTAATTAGGTGCTGCAAGTACACGCAATAACAAGGCGCCCCTAATAAAAATAAAGTCGTTATTCAGAACATAGCAGATGCAAAATTCAGATTTCCTGACAATCAAAATACAATCAAAATTGCTTTCAGAAAAAGTCCAAATAAGGGGCTTTTTAGGTGCTAATTAAGTACTAAGTTTAAAAATTAGTTGCTCCAAAATTTTCACCGCAACGAACTATTGAAATTTGCATTGCTGGCAAAACGTATCGCTGGCAACGCAATGAAGTTATTAGATATACGATAAATATTAATAGCAAGGAATTAAGTGCTAATTAGGTGCTGCAAGTATACGCAATAACAAAGCGCCCCTAATAAAAATAAAGTCGTTATTCAGAACATAGCAGATGCAAAATTCAGATTTCCTGACAATCAAAATGCAATCAAAATTGCTTTCAGAAAAAGTCCAAATTAGGGGCTTTTTAGGTGCTAATTAAGTACCAAGTTTAAAAATTAGTTGCTCCAAAATTTTCACCGCAACGAACGATTGAAATTTGCATTGCTGGCAAAACGTAACGTTGGCAACGCAATGAAGTTATTAGATATACGATAAATATTAATAGCAAGGAATTAAGTGCTAATTAGGTGCTGCAAGTATAGGCAATGACAAGGCACGACAAGGCGCCCCAGATAAAAATAAAATCGTTATTCAGAAAATTATTCAGTAAAGCAAATGCAAACATCAGGTCTTTGTGTTTGTGCCATCTAGCGTCTATCGTACTTACCACCTTGATAGTCCATCGATTTTGATTCGATAAAATGACTAGAGCTATAGAACGTTGAACGTTGAACGAAATACCTACCAGTACGAGGCTGCCACTCAGGAACTTTTCTTCCCCATCGGTTGTCGGTTCTTCGAGCTATATGGCTGGCCCATTGCCACTTCAGCTTACTAATCTGTTGGCCTGTGTCGATTTCTCTGATTCTACTGCGGATATCCTCATTTCTTAGTTTATCACGCATAAAAACCCCGAGCATAGCCATCAGCATAGCTCGCTGAGCGACCTTGAGCTTTGTCATACGGCCAGCAATGAAGGACCACATCTCAGATCCATAAGTCATCACTGGCAACACACACTAGGAAACAATTAGTTTTGCATACTACTACGAAACTGCAGTTCAAGCAACTGGTTATGGATACGGTACTAACATCAATAGCGAATACATCACTCACCTTTGATTTGCCGACGATATTATAGTCCTTATGGCAGAATCGTTGCAATGCTCATAAGCAAAAAATAAAATTCATGTACCTCAGGTATCAGGGGATTAGGGGATTAACTGAACAAAACGTGAAGCTTATTGAAATACCGTAAGTCTGCTGCTCGCTGGCCTTTAGACCAATAGTGTTCTATGTAAAGAATAAAACTACTAAAAATTATAAAAATGCATGTATTTAATAGAATGACTGCAAAAGAATTTACTTACGTCTATAAGGCACTCGTTTGCCTGCTTCCAGTTAACAATTTCAAATTCATTTGTTTTCTTAAACATTTTACATGGGCGTAAACTATGGTAAACGTAAAAACGATAGGTCAAAATAAATGACTAGAATTTGCTTCATGTAATTTGTGTTGAAAATGAAAACCTTTTACAAAATATTACATAATATGATTTGTACTGTATCTAACGATTACAAGTTGTAAGAAAAGCCTTGTAAAATATATACAAAATAACAGAAATTAGTTTTACTTTTCAATCTTGTTATTTTGAAAGACATAATATCTGGTAATACAATAATAATTATATTTATTAAATGTGTGATCAAGGCATAATATGTTATGTTATACATCAGACCAATGAAGAAAGACGGAGCGCTACACATTAAAGTGACGCAAAAACTAAGTCAAAAGCATGCTCAACTTATTGTAAGAACACGCACGTAGGAAATCATTTGCAATCAACGTGGTTTTAGGTGCATATGTGTGGCTCCAGCAGTGAGATTTTACGGATTGTTAAAAAAGAAGACGTGTGCGTGGGTGCGAAGTTGAGCATGGTTTCGGCATCAAATGAAGTGTATGCAGAGCTCCGTCCAATTTCATTGTTGGTCTGAGTGTTGTACGGTTGCTTACAAGGGCTTATATAGGCTAAGAATTTTTTATCGTTTTGTTGTTTTTAATTTGTTTTTCACCCATGTTTCACCCATAGTATTTATTACTCACTATTGAAATTGAATATATTATTATTATAAAATAGGTAATTGGCTTTATCCACATAATATTGCAATTTATAGGAACGGAAGGCAGTGAAGGCATTCTTGTGCACCGGTTCTGAAGAACTACACTTAAACAGGATTAATTAATTTCAAACAGTTTCAGACAAATAGATCTCATTTTAACTATTACAGAATACGTTTAGAAAATACACTTCCTATGTTGTAGGTATATACTTCGAAGCCGAAGAACGAAGAGTGAAATCAAGCAGTCATATAATGCGGTCGATCGCGAGTAGACAGAGAAATGATATTAAAAACTAATTACACATCTCACTCTGTTTACATTTAGATATAAGTAAAAACTTAACTCCATTTTTATTTGCAATAAAATGGTCGCTGTCGTTTACATGTGACCGCAGTTAGGCACCTTCGATTCAGCTTACAAATTGTACAATGAAATGATCACAAGTGAAATGTGTCAATATAATACACATAATACAGCTGATGTAGTTTTACTATAGAGCATTGCGCCATAACACTTACAAGAAAATAATAGGATGACACATTTCACTTTTATCTTATTCGCACTAACGTTATGGCATTTAATTACCTATTATAAGTACTTTGTACGAATATTTTAAAAATACTTCCTATTACAGTAGATAATATGTAATAATTTCAAATAATAAACTTGAATATAATTATTGTTCCGGGAGATAATACTAAATTGTGTTGAAATAGCAGCATAGCTAGCATAGCATATTGTTATCCTAGAAGCAATAGAGAATTAGAGAATCTTTAAGTCATCATCACCCAGAACGAATTAGCGTTTATTATAAAATAAATAAAAAAATATGCTTTAATGCACAATTCCTTAATAAATTATTAATTTTAACACAAAAAGAATGTTAGAAGTATTTATTTGATTAAATGTAGTTATTATTTCACAACTAATGTCGAAATAATTTTAACAAAAAATAAAAGAACATAATGGAGATAAAAATTAGGAAAAATATTAATGCCTTTTTTGTCAAAATACTGTAATGTACCTTACGTTAGAATTCTCTAATTTTAAATAAAAAAATATAACAAAATACATTTAATTAAACCAAAAGAGCAATATTATATAGTATAGTATAATATTTAACATTTGAATAAATTATAAACAGTTTTAATATAATACCTAATTGATATACTGCCGCATAACTAGAATAATAGTCGTTGTCACATATATTGCTTTTAGGCAATACACTTTTTACAAAATATTTTGTTATAATTATAGTACTCATAAATGTTTCAAGGTGTTGCAACCTGAAAAAAGAAAATTCATTAAAATGTTTGTACTTGCAATTGTTTTCTTTAAGTGGAATTTCCAGAGGTTGCCAGTTTATATCCGGCTCGAAGGACCAAAAATCTACGGATAGATTCCCAAAAAATATATTATCTTTCTTTAAACGTTATTAGGATCTTCTCCTGTATCATGTAGGGCAGTTTACATATATAAATTTCACAAGGACAAACATGCAGACCCGGAACAATATACATGGTAGAACCATGCTGCAGCTATATTAGTAGCATAGTTGTAGCACGAATGGGTCGGATCGACCGGGGAAGCACCATGCTCTCACAGAATACTAGCGTAAAATAGCAGCTTAACGCTGCTGTGTTGCGTATGGTGTGTGTAGAGAACCGGAGACCCTTTTTACTGGAAAAAAGGCATTCCATCTTCGTCCTCACGGGTGACAACGCATCTACATTTTGATTTGTAATAGAGGATAGATGTAGATGTCTATGGGTTGCAGCAACCACTTACCATCAGGTGGACTGTGTGCTCGTTTGTCACCCCTATCCTATAAAAAAAATACAAATACTTGTTTAGTACAAGATTCGAACCCGCAGCCCTCGATACTGCAAATTGATGTTTAGCACCACGGAGCCTTTCATAATTAACGGTAAATGATATGGGCGGTAAATGCTATGATCGATAATAAATAAAACCGACCGCGCCGAGTGCTGATAATACACTAAATTATTTATTTATGGCATGATAGAATTTGCACGCGTCTGGCAAAAAAGTGCAGAAACTTAAGTTAAGTACACATATAAAATAATGTTTTATATACATATACGATAGTACTTACATTTGCTTAGATGGAAAACGCAATCTTTGTAAATTCTACATAAATGCCCAATATAAAACTAAAAGTGAAACCGTTTACAAAGTTTTTTACTTTCCATCAAAATTAAAAAATAATGTAATTTAAATTAAAAAAAATGTAAATAATGTAGTAAATAAAAAAAATAATGTGAAACCGGTTACAAAGTTTTTTACTTACTATCAAAAAATAAAAAAAAAAACAAAAAAGTAATTATACGAAAAAGGTCAGAAAGGGTTCATAACTTTCGATTGATGACGTTATACCAACTTGTTTATTCTAGAAGTAAAATAAGCAGACTGGCGACGGGGAGCAACGTAAATGGTGTGGTAGAGCGATCGCCAACCAATCCACCGGCGAATCAAATCACACGGCTGAACATGGTAGTAACATTCAAATAATCTGTACTACGTACTAGAACTGACACCTTGAACAAAATCTATGCGGCAGTTCGGGGCGCGTGGTCGGAGGCACAGAGTAGAGTACCTTTTTATGGCATTTTGAGCCCATAGGCAATTATTTATTCTGTGCCATAGGCTCTCACGAGTGTTGCAAACAACCAAGTCTCGGCGTCTTTTTTACTACGTAGCACATATTACTTCAATGGGCGATAACGGCATGTTTTTCTTACAATAGGTGAGGCAAGGTCTACCAGTGGACTACTACAGCAGTGTGATAAACCAGAGAAGAAAAATATTGTGACTAAAAGAACACTGAAGTTGATCGTACAGAAAAGTCGGTGGAAAGAAAGTTATTAATTAAATTCAATTAAGCTTTTACGACCGTCTATAGGGGGTGTAAGAATATCGTCCACTACCCCCGAACAACCCGTGGGTGTCATAAGAGGTGACAGAGGGAACCCTCCGGCGAAGCGTGGCAACAATGACAAATATTTTCTCTATGAGGCAATTTATGGGGAGGCCTATGTTCAGCAGTGGACTTTTTAGAATTTAATGGTAACGGTAAGTTTTTATTTAAGTTCAATAATGTAAGAGTTGCATTAACTTTCAAAACATGTTACCAAAAAACCTGGAACCATTATTTGTAGGCCAATTAAAAAAATATATAAGAGAAGCTTAAGGAACTACATATATAAGAAAAATAACAAACCACAAGCAGGTTGCCGCTCTTTGCCCGTTGTATGGCGGGCTGCGGTCCCTTGGTAACCTCGATGGTGCCGCCTTGCTTGCCATTCACCAGATTGTGAGCGATCCTGTTGAATTTTGTTAAATAATCGAATTAATAAATTATTTCCTTATGGAATTTTCTAAAGTTAAGAACTTTGGTAACACTGGTATTGTCACGAGGTGTTATCGTAATATAATTCGTCACCATAGCTCCTATAAAACTCACTTATGACTTATGCAACGCCCCGTCAACGATCTTAGAGTTTCTAACCAAAGATGAGAGACGTCTGTTACTCGCCTATATCATGGAGATGAGGGCCACATCCTTCCTCTTTGAAACGTATGATCAGCTTAACTTAACAATACACTTTGTTTTTAAATTTTTATTGCGTGTTGCCAAGACAGAACTTGAAAGCCTTGTACTCTTACATTAATTATATTAAATTATATTAAACATTCTGATACTTTTTTCACATTAAGAAGATCCTCTTCTAAAGAATGGCCTAATCCGAACAGGTTCATCGTTTCCGCAGAAAGTCGGTCCTGTAGGTCAGTCATTATGCTATCTATCAGTGCAATATAAACAGTCCTCCGAATATATTCATCGTCATTTCCTTGATAATTATATAATAATTTCTTTCGTTTATTTATATTTAGATGTCCCCCCACTAGATGGAGTGACGACCTGCTAAGACCTGCAAGAAGTCAATGGATGCAGGTGGCTCGGGACCGTGCTTTGTGGCGTTCCATGGGGGAGGCCTATGTTCAACAGTGGACTCAACAGTGGCTGTAATGAAATGGAATGGAACATTTATGAATGATCGACGATGTTAAAGGTGCGAAACGTCTGGTGACAAATTAAATCTTCAATAGAGGAATTTTTTTTGATAATTTTGATTGATAATTACTTCAATTTTAAAAATTTTTGCCTTTATTAAAAAATGTTAGATATTTCTGTAATATCCAAATTCTGCAGAGTTAAAAAAAGAATCAACTTACGTTCTGGTATCGACTATTTCGATGAGTTCGGGCTTCTTGGTGTAGTCGGTGACGATGGTGAGCGCTTCTATCAGATGCGAGACGGAGATGATCAAGTCGCCCTGGAGTTAAAGGATAAAAATATTTAAAGTTTTTGAGTATATTATTATCATCGCGTGCAGCATAACAATAACCCTATCTCGTCCCGTGGGTATCGGAACACTTTACACTGGAATATACAGGGTTGTTTTGCAATAACCGGCCAAATTTGCAGAGAAGGTTCAGAATAAGTAATATAGGCAAATGGTGAAGAAAAATTAATTAAAAAAGATCTAAAAAATAATTCTGTCCTTCTTATCTTTTAGACTCAAAATGCCAGGTAATGCATTATTTTAACTTTTTTTGATTTTACTGCGCACGCACACATTTGTAAGGGTCGATCGGTAGGCAAAAACGATGTTGCGCATAAATCACATTCAATTTGGAATATTTTCAAAAACGGTATATCATTATTTATATATTTGACCTTAAGTTGAAAATTTGGCTACTCTTTGAAAAATAACCCTGTATAAGGTAATACACGTAGTAATTCTATGGTAATACAGAGTTATTGCTTATTTTACCACGTTTTTATTAACTCGCTTCCGTGTGTGTCTGTCCGGTTCGAAATTAGTATTTTTTTTTTTATAGGAGAGGGGGCAAACAAGCATGCGGCTCACCTGATGGTAAGTGACTACCGCCGCCCATGAACAACCGCAACACCAGGGGAATTGCAGATGCGTTGCCGACCTTTTAAAAAGGAGTAGGCTCTTTTCTTGAATTGATTTTAAGCTAACTTCCCGATGAGCTAGACTTCGAATATAGCTTGGAATTGGATGACAATGTAAGAAAATGAAAAAAAAAAAGGCTTGTAGCTGCTGTGTTTCGTACGGTGTGCGTAGAGATCCGGAGCCCCTTTTTACATATAACTAGGTTTTCTATTTTGGGTGATAATGCAGCTAAATTTTGATTCTCAATCGAGAATAAGATTTGTTCTCACTCCTGAGGACTAAGATGTAATGACCTCCGGTTCTTTACAATCACCATTCGAAAAACAGCAGCATTTAGCTGCTGTTTTACGCTGATATTCTGTTACAGCGTGATTCTTCCCCGGTCGAGTCGAATCGTTCGTGTTACAACTACAATATAGCTACAGTACTCTACCACGTATATAAGTGTTATGTGGCGAGGAAGTCGCGGGAGCGTACCTTGTCGTTCTTAATTGAGCAGTGTTAGGGGCCAAGGAAGTTGAGAAAGTGCGTCACCGTGTTTGTTATCGGTCGAGTAGTGTTAGGTGGTGACGTAGCTATGAGAGTGAGTCATACTTTCGTTGAGAGAGTTGTGGGAGCGTACCTTGTCGTTATTGATCGAGCAGTGTTACCGGCAGAGAAAGTTTAGGAAGAGCGTCACCTTATCGTTGCAGGCTGAGTGTTGTTATGTGATGAGGAAGTTGTGGAAGCATACCTTGTCGTTCTTGAGGTCCTGCGGGATCTTGACGAGCGCGAGCTGGTCGGTCTCGTTGGTGAGTACGACGCGCAGCTTGTCGAGCGGCAGGCGGTGCTTGAGCTTGTAGGTGCGGCGGCCGGCCGCGTCCAGCACGTACAGCGCGCGCTGCGACGCCAGCAGGCTGCGCGCGCGCGGCTTGTACCCGCGCCGGTCGTACTTCACCGCCTCGCACGAGTACTGACATCAACATTGCCTCATTTCAGATACATACAACAACAGATACAAATACAGATAACGTTGGACTACGAATGGGTCGGCTCAACCACGCTCTCACAGAATGCAAGCTTAATGCTGCTGTGTTTCGTATGGTGAGTGTAGAAAACCGGAGACCCTTTTTACTGGAAATGAGGAATTTAATTTTAGTCCTCAGGGGGGACAACAAATTTCATTGTGATTCTTAATCGAGGATAAATGTAAATGTCTATGGACCACAGCATCCACTTACCACCAGGTGAACTGTATGCTCGTTTGTCACCGTCTTTCTATAAAAATAAAAAATCATTTCCTACTATGAGGGCTAAAATTTAACGCTCACCAGATGTCGCAATTTTTTTTACTAAAGAAACTACATATTAGATTGTTCGGAAACTAATTTCGTTTTTTCCTAACAGAGAACATTTTTTTTACAGGCAAATTCGCTTTAGTTGATTAGGCACCATTATAAATTTTGATAGCTCATATATCAAGGCATGCTTGTGAAAAAGTTCAACTCATTTCACACAGTAGTTTTTGGTTAGTACCTTTTCGAGAATATGATAACTGAATAACGTTTTCGACATTTTACCTTTTTTACTATCGAAAAGGTAAAAATGCTGTTCAAACAAAAAAAGTATCTCCGATGTGTATTGAGATAACGTATTAACAGAACATCAGTGCCAAAACTCGTTTGCAAAATTTCGATCTGGCAATTTTGATGTTGAAGATACACCATGTTCTGGAAGGATAGTTGTAGTTGATAAAGATATGCGATCAAAAATAAACTTGTAAAAAACCAAGTCTTGCAACTCAGTTCTTCAAACGTAAAATGTTGTGAGATCCATGTAATACCAAGTCGGTTTATTTACGAGTATTCAGTCCCTACTTAAGGGTCCTTCGGTCCTAAGTTATTACGTAATTAGTTAACCTAACAAGATCTTATAGTGACCACATCAATATAAATTAACTTGGCAATCGCACTAAACCAACTAATTTAATATAATATGTATTACTTGAGAGATACATTGTGCTTTCATGCGATGGCCAAGTCAATCTATTTATTTAAAATAAAAAAGATTTTTAGTATTGATGTGTTCCCAACGTATTCTCCAGGTCTGGTACCTTCTGACCCTTACTAATATTAACATTTTAGAAATTTAAATTTTTATCAAACAGAATAAGGTCTATTTTCAGATTAAATCCAACTTGAATTCACGTCTAATACGCAAAAATTTATGTACACCTAAAATTAATAATTACATATATTATAAGAACACTTTTTGTACAGGTATTAAAATATTCAATCATCTGCCACCTGATATAAAAGTTATGGACTTGCAAAGATTTAAAATACACCTCAAGAAGTGGTTAATACATAGTGTGTTTTATAATTTCAATGAATATTTAAATTTGTATAAAGTTTTTATTTCTTAATTATTGCATTCCCGATATGGGTAAACTGTGTAACATTTAATTGCAATGTCAACCGCAAATTGTACATACACAGCTTATTGCCAATAAATATTCTGGTTCTGAATTATTATTTATATCGGTCATTAATTTTTTTTAAACCGTTAAACCCTTACTGCAAATGAGGAGGTTAAAACCCGCCTGGATCAGATTTTTGCTAATAAAGAACAAACATTTTATGACCGTGGAATCATGCTACTGCTAGAAAGATGGCAAAAAGTATTGGACCAAAGAAGACAATATATAAGTAAATAAAATATTTATTCACTTTAAGAAAATCGTCTTTCATTTTCTTTAAAAAAAAACGTAATGACTTTCCGAACAATAAGTAAAAAATAAAGTTACAGCCTATATATGTCTGACTGCTGGGCACAGACCTCCTCTCATTTTTGTGGGGGGTTTAGGGCAAGGAAGTGTCCGCCGCGCTGCCCCAATGCATGTTGGCGAACTTTACATGTCTTCCAAATATTTTTCTCTTATTTCTCAGACATACAGGTTTCCTGACGATGTTTTCCTTCACCGCCGAACACGTGGTCTGTACTTAAAATTTGCAATTAACAATGTCATTGGTGCCGGCGGGAATCGAACTTGGGGTGGTCGCGTAGACTGTGATATTTACAGCGAGCGCTTGGCCCTTGAGCTACCATGGATTTTATATATCTCTAATATAATTATTATAAAATAACTTTCGCCGCTACGAAATCTGTCAGCATGACCCTGGTGGCAAAAGAAGTCGTGGATGCCCCTCATTTACGAAGTAGAGCGGGCTTTACTCGTGGCTGAATGTGTACATGCATATTGCGCTAGCGTGTAGATTACTACCACGTGGATTGTATGCCCATTTGTCACCCTAACGCCCGCCACATACATACGGAGTTCTGTTTCGGGATTCCGTTTCCGTTCCGTTTCGAACGGGCCGGCCGAACACACACGAAATCCAGTTTTGCCCGCAAAATTTCGAACGGAAAACTACCGTATTTGAGGTATATTGAGGTCATATATTTTATATGGACTTGTTGCTTTCGGAATTCCGAGTCGGAATATCGGAACGGAATCCCGAAACGGAATTCTATTGCGTTACGTTATATAATTGTATGTGGCCGGCCTTATTCTAAAAAAAATGGACTTTTATAGGTTGTAACCGATACCGTTACCGTTACAGCATACTAAAGTCCACTGCTGAACATCGGCCTCCTCCATAAATTGCTTGATATTTTATATGTCATTTTTGCCACGCTTGGCAAGTGGGTTGGCAACCGCAATTTTTTTTAATTGTTATTAGGAAGACGCTGCTGCCTATCTCTTGATTGGTTTCCATCTATTCTTACATCGCCACTACACGGTAAATGAAGTTATAGGTTGTAATGGATATATGTATTGGAAGCTAGTGAAGTGACGTACGATGAGCTGTTCGCCGGCGGGCCAGGCGCTGGACGCCAGGAAGGTGTCGCGCAGCACGCGCAGCTCGGCCGGCAGCCGGTCGCTCACGAAGCGCTCGCCCACGCTGCTCGGGTAGCTGTTCTTCTTGCCTGCAACACGGAAATGTATAATGTGCTGCATTTTCTAAAATAAACTTTCTTTTGTTTAAACAACGTTACCTCCACACTAGGATTTTCACCTGTATCATGGGGGCAGTTGACAAGCACATTCAGATACGGAACAATTATTTGTAGGTCATACAAATACTTGTTCCGTGCGGACTTAGAACCCGCGGCACTTAGCGCTGCGACTCATTGCTAATCTACTGCGCAACGGAGCCGTATTATTTATTATGAAAAGCATAGAACAATAAATTTATTATTCAACTAGCTAGCCTAATCGACGTTGTAGTGACATATCTAGTATTGCCGATGAGTGTCATTCCGAATTCACTTTTTTTTTACATAGTAAATATGTATACAATTTATTAATAAATCAACCATAGTGCTGTGCTGCCTATCAGGTCCAGACTTTATAATTTTCTTTTTCTAAGCCAACATACATTGTGAATGACTCATATTGGTCCAGAAATATAGAATTTGTTAATAACTAGACTACTGTTCCACCTATCGGATCCTAGGATAAGTATGAGCTATCGTCTTAACAAAACAAACATTAAATTGTGTGAATATGACTTCAATCGGTCAAGTTATTCAAAAGTTATGCAATCTTAACAATTAACCAACAATAATTATTGTAGTATACAATATTTTTGGAACGTAGTTTTTTATCGGACGGTACGAATTTGGCGGATGGGGGCTAGGCGAGAAAAAGTCTAAGATTTTTCCGTCACGACCCCTTCTGATGTAGTGTAGACCGCCTTGGCGGCTATAAGGAAGCGAGATGGAATGATATCCATCTCCCTCGTACTTTTACGTATCTTGCCATGAAAGAAATATTATTTTATTTTAAATGACATCTATAGTATATCAGTATATCAGTAATAATATACTATGAAAAGAACTTCGTGCTAACCGAGTGTTCCACGGCACTCACGCATGTTTTTCTTTTTTCATTTTAGTCAGTTTCGGAATAACCTCTGTCGTATTAAAAACTAACAAGACACCCAACGGGACCTATTTCAAAGTAACTTTTAATAAAATAAATGGAGGGGGGGGGGAGAAAGGACAACGTTTAAGGCTCTAGCGGTTTCGGACGGCAGCAACTCATGCTACGTCCCTGTTTATATCTCACCTTTAAAGATACTTTCAGCCAGTATCTTAAGCTCAAATTGTTTCTTGTCCTCCGGCGACAGCGCCAAGCGGTACTTCCTGGAGAGCCAGGCGCGATGCAGCCGGTGCAGCTCTGCGGATGCTTCCTTACAAGTGGCGGGGCATGGCGGCCACGACAGATCGAGGATTTTGGTCGGAAGCTGCGTAGCCAGACGCTTCAGCCAATGCACCTTCGCTATGGCGAGGAAGCGTCGGTTCTCCGGCGTTTCGGGGCCGTTGCGCGTGATGAAACCTGCAAGCAAATTGAAATTATTCTTCATCAGCCAGTAAGACTACACAACTGGACATGGGCAATGACACATTTCTCCCAAAGACTTATATTTTAATTCAAAACATGAACTGTGTTACAAACTAGCTGGCACGTGCCACACAGTTGTATCTTCATTTACGACCGTTACTGTGTTTAGGAAAATACGAAATACTTGCTTAACTGAAATAAACTTTATATCTCGTTAAGAAAGTGCGCATACAAATAATGAAAGCGTTTTATTAGTCAGTGTTAGATTGTTAAAAATAACGTTCGCGGTTTACAAAACAAAGAACTAGTCTTCTCGCCTGCTCGCAGTCGACTGAAGGAGTTACGGAGAATTGACCGTAACTTAGTGTGTAATATATTAAGGCCGCAAAGTCCGTTCAGTACTATACATAGAAGTTTTTGGTCTCTCCCGTTTAGAAGAATTTGTCTTATCGTTGCGCTTGGCAGGGGATTGACAATCACAGTATAGAACATCTCTCACCTTTGACCGCGGCTGCCCGTCGCCATTCCAAGTATTTTACGCCTGGCGTAAACGACACTGTATCGCCACCTATCCGGAGCCATGAGTTGTTTCTCACAGTCTTTATTTATTTACACTTTCATGCATAAAGTAGTACATATGGCGGACTTAATGCTATAGAGCGTTCTCTCCAAGTCAACCATCAGGCTAAACAGAGATAGACATATAAGAGGTGGTGTAACAATAAATAAAATAGAAAGGGTTAAAAATACTGCGGTTGCTAACCCCAAGTGTGGCAACTAAGGCAAATATACCCGCTTGTTTCTTATGGATGGAAGCGAGGTCGAGGCGGCGTGACAGAATATTGCCTATACTTAGTCTCGTGGGTGTCATAAGGGGCGGCTGTGAGATATACCATAAAGACAAGTTTGTTTTTAAAAATCAAGTCGGAAAGCATGCGAAAAAATCGTTGCAAGTTTGTACTAACATAATTCTTCAGTCTTATTTTCATATATTATATTTCATGTTTGTTCTGACGTAGATAATATATTTATGTTCCAACGGTTCAATCTCTATGTAACACGATTATGTTCAGACAGACAGACAACGTTTTCAAAAGAAATTGTTTTGCCATCTGTATAGATCATGTAGTATACCCCAATAAAAATTTCAGAATATTATTTTGTGTACAGTGTATAGTGTAGACTGATGTATTATACGTATGTACATCAGTCTATACAAATATATATATATATATATATATATATATATATATATATTTATTTGTATTTATTATATGTATTTAAGTATATATTTACATATACAATTATTTTTAAAAGGCCGGCAACGCATCTGCGATTCGCTCCCTGGTGTTGCAGCTGTTCATGGGCGGCGGTAGTCACTTACCATCAGGTGAGCCGCATATGCTCGTTTGCCCCCTCTCTTATAAAAAAAAAGTTCTTTTTTCATATTAAGCTGTTATCAGGAAGACGCTGTTGCCTATTTCCTGTTTTAGTCTTCCTCTGTCGCCTTTTGCGACACCCACGGGATAATTTTATAGGGCAGTGGATTGTCTTACTGATTGTGAGAATTGAGTTTAGTTCATACCTTTGATAAATGCCCTGATGACCTGAGCAGCCTTACGCCTCCTCTCCAGTAACCTTTGAGCGAGGAACCTTCGAACCCACTTCTGTATAATGATAGCGGATTCCCTCATCTTCAGGTACTGCTTCCTCTGCCAGTATCCTCTCCATCTGCTCTGGATGATGGTCGCTATGTCATTCTTCTTAATTTGGAAGGCGTCTTCCGTTTCGAATAGCGTTTTCGGGAAGCGGATGAAAATTTTTGTGCTGATGAAAAAAATATTGAATATAGATATAGTTTGAGTCTAAATAGCCATTGATAATATAAAGATAATGTAAGAAAATATAGTCTTAAATATTTATAGTAGGTACGCAGCAACCAGCAACCTTAGTTCGTTCTCCGCCGAAACCCGAAACCAATGAAATTTTTAATTGTAATTTATGTGCTGATGAACTACGTGCTCGGCGGTGAAGATAAACATCGTGAGAAAACTGGCATATCTGAATTACTAATTTTTAAAGGATATGTGCAGTACAATTTAAATTAAAACCGGTCTACTTCAGTTATGCTCTGAGGTTGCAATTTCGAAACCAGCACGATACAAATGTTTGTATGGCCCACAAGTAATTGTTCTGTGTCTGGAAGCTTGTCTATCTACAATATACATAAGTATATAAAATGATAAGAAGAGAAGGTGTCGTAAAAGGCGACAGGGGGAAACTGAAACATGGATATGGGCAGCAGCTATCTGATGCCTGACAAGCATCGTAACTATGGCTTATAACCGGTGCGAGGTTATTACTCAAGCACCTTTCTTCCCTATAGATTGTTGGTCCTCCGAGCCATTGGGCTTGTCCATTGTTAATTTAGCTTACAGGTCGTTACTCTGGTTTTACTGTGGATATCCTCATTATGAAGAATGTATCATCATTACAGCCTTCCACAATTCCACTGCTGAACATAGGCCTCCCCCAAGGAATACCACAAAGCACGGTCTTGAGTCACCTGCATCCATCGACTTCCTGCATGTCTTACGAGGTCGTCACACCATCTAGTGGGGGGTCGCCCTACACTTCGCCTACCAGCACGAGACTGCCACTCGAGAACCTTTCTTCTCCATCGGTTGTCGGTTCTTCGAGCCATATGGCCGACCCACTGCCACTTCAGCTTACTAATCCGTTGGGCTATGTCGGTTACTCTGGTTCTACTGCGGATATCCTCATTTCTAAGTTTATCCCGCAGAGAAACCCCGAGTATAGCCCTCTCCATAGCTCGCTGAGCGACCTTGAGCTTCCTCATACGGCCAGCAGTGAAGGACCACGTCTCAGATCCGTAAGTCATCACTAACAACACGCACTAGTATGTTTGTTGTATGTATGTATGTTTGATGATAATTCGCTGTAACTCACTTGCCCATGCGGTACTCCTCGCGCTCGTAGTTGAGTGCCGCGACGAGACGCTGCACGCCCTCGCGAGCCGGTCCACGATAGTTAGGCCACGTCTCCGCGCTCAGACACTTGTACCTGCAATAGTACAAAATGTTTAGTAAAAGTAACGTGAATAGTGACAGTGTAGAAATATCCACTACCCCATATCGTCCCGTGGGTGTAGTAAGAGGCGGCAGAGGGAAACAACGTGATGGATAGCAGCATCTACCTAGTAATAACTAAAAACAACTGCTGTAAGCCAGCAGTGAACTTTTGATAGGTTAAGGGTATGATGAATTACTAAATCTGAAAAGTCGTGGATTCGAATACGCTATTGTATATATTATTATCTAGCAATAACCGACCAAATTTGCAGAGAAGTTTCAGAATAAGCAATAAATCTCAAATATACCGTCCTTTTTATCTTTTAGATTAATAATGCGTGATAATGCATTATTTTAACTGTTTTTACTGCATACATTCGTAAGAGTAGATCTGTAGATAAGAACGTTGTTGTCTATAAATCACAATCAATTTGGGATAATTTCAAATAAAAGTAGAAGTCTTATAATACTCTTTTTTAAACTGTGATAACGGTATATCATTATTTTTTTTATAGGATAGGGTGACAAACGAGCACTCAGTCCACTTGATGGTAATTGGTTGCTGTGACCCATAGACAACTACATCTATCTTCGTTTGCGAATAAAAATGGAGATGTGTTGTCACCCGTGAGGACCAAGATGAAATGCCTCTTTTCCAGTAAAAAGGGTCTCCGGTTCTCTACACTTACCATACGAAACACAGCAGTGTTAAGGTCGAGCCGACCCATTCGTGCTACAACTATACTACTAATATAGCTGCAGCATGGCTCTACCACGTATAAAATATTATTTATATATAATTTGAATTTAAGTTTAAAATTTGTATTTTAATGCCGTGAACCACTTCTAACAAAAGCTACTGGGTAATTACAAAATAAAATCCAAAAATTTTATTTCTGCCCTAGGTAGAAAAAAAATAGATATGACGGTGGTGCCTACACAAAGGAGTTCGTTTGTGTAGGCACCACCGTCATATCTATTTCTGCTGCCGAAAAATCTCTTCCAGTCTGAACACCACAGCCTAACAGGAACATACAGTCAGCCATCGCGTTTGATGTTGTCGGAAAAGCCGACGTAAACCGACTGTTAGTAGTAGTTAGACTGTGCTGAAGACCATAGAGAGCCAGTATTTACAGGCTGTGAGGCATTCCATCTTAGTCCTCAGATGTTGGACTTGGTTACAGGTGACCATGAGTTACAATAGACACTCACCGTCTAATGGGTTCTCTTCTCTGTTACGAAGTTTGAATATTGTAGTATATTCAACACTGGATAAAAAGGGTTATTATAAAAATTACTTTCGATAAGTTTTATACTTGTAATTTATCTCTTTATATAAAAATCAATTATTGTCCGTTAGTCTCGCTAGAATTCGAAAACGGCTCGAACTATTTTGATGAAATTTTTTGTGTATGTTTGAGTGGTATAGATAGTTTAGGTTCACAATTGAATCCGGTAGATGGCGCTGTCTAGATCCAGAAATCACGCGTGCGAAGCTTGGGGGATCATTAGTATGAAATAACAAATTCATTTCGTTATTTCATACTAATACTTTGTTCGAAGTAGACACGCTCTTAACCGGTTTTTATTAATGAAATTACTACTTAATACATAAATATATAATATATAATACATAAATATACATTTATGCATATCTATTTGGTGTAGAACACATCAGATACGTAACGAAAGCGTTTGAATGGCAGGCATTCCATGTTAGACTTTAGGGCTGACAACGCATCTGCATTCCTAATCGAGGATAGATGTAGGTGACTATGAGTCACGTCATACTCTTACTGTACAGAACACCTTTAAATGATATATGAAATAAGAAAAACTGATTTTATTTAAACTTAATAATGATAAAAAATTGATACTGATATTGATACAAAATTGATATAGAACGCGCCCGCCGTGTCCGGAATGAAAACGTGACTTCTTGAAAAATAAAGTAAATGACGCAAATGATGTTGACCCAAATAAATCACTTACTAACCAAAATGTACGGTTGCACTGTACACATTCACTTAACCGTATTCATGTTCGTCATATACTTTTATAAAAATACAAACCTCTCAAGGAAGGCTTCGTAAGTTCTTCGGTACGCGAAACCTGCGCGTCGCACCCGCAAGTTCTCCATCAGTCCGAGGTACTTCACTTGATGAGACACCAGCTTGTCGTCGAATTGCACTGCAAATGTAAATAAAAATAAATAAAATGATAAAAAGAAATATTACGGATTTTATGCACGTCGTAAAGTGATATCCCGACCCATATCATCCAGTGGGTGTCGTAAGTCCCAGCAGCGAGACATTGAAACAAGAGATGGGCAACAACTACATGATTCGCCAACCAATCTTACTAACTATGGCCTAGGGCAAATTATCCTTTATGAGGTTATTCTATGGAGACGCCTATGTTCAGCAGTAAAATTTTGATAGTCTGTAATTAGTTAAACGAATAAAAGTATAAATTAATAATAAACTTAATATTTAACAACTCTCATGGCCATGAGAATCAAAGGTGTTTGACGATCAGTTGTCATTGTTGACCCAGCCCGAGTTAAAAGATAAAAAAAATAAAAGAATAAGCTTAAAGTATCTTTAAGTTTTGCAGTGGTGTACTTGCGTTTGAATTTAATTGTATTAATTAACTTTAACTTTAATAGCAGTATCCAGTCATATTCTTTATTAAAATTGGTATTTTTTTTATTTCTATAGCCTTAGTAGGAATCGGTATTCTTTTTAAAATCCCGGAGCGTTGAAGTTTCACGGTAACTATGAGTTTCTTACGCGGGTTTTCATGGATATTTCATTGATATTATTGCCATAATGCCTAATATTATACTTTTGTACTTACTTGGCGTTTTGAAGTCATTGGGTTTGATGCAGCGAATGTATGACGGCTCCTTGCTGCTCAGTATCTTGATGAGGTCGTTGAGAGAATTCTTGAACTGAGTGATCGCCGTTTCCGGACGCTTTTTGCTCGTCAGGTTTGTGTCCTAAGCCACGAGAAACAAGTAGTTCAAGTATTTAACATAAGATCACGCAAATTTTACAAGTCTCTACTCTTGACTGATGCGGAGTTAGAGGGAAGGTCGTGGGGGTCATGACATGAACAAAAAATAAAATTTTAAAGTATAATTTTGTTCCATACTCAAATCTTTAGTCTCTGACCCCTCCAAATTATGAGATCCGGTGTTTCTTATACATCTATTTACTTTTTTCTTTGTTGTAATGATAATACTGGCTATTTTAACATTTATTTCTTTTAACTATTATTTATTCTGTGCTTTTATGTAAGAACTTAGTCATGAGTCATGACAAATTATGTTAGAGAAAGAAAGGACTCTCCCAACCTTATGATTTCTTTAGAATTTAGAGGGTTTATAGGTCCTGAAATTGTTCTGGAATATACATTAAATTGAATTGTAATATTATCCAAATATAGTTACTTTTAACAAATTTACCTTGAAGCAGTTCGACACGATGTTGTTCCCGCTGGCAGCCATGAGGACCTGTATGTCGCGGAACAGTAGATCGTTGTTCTTCTCCAGGAATGTATTCACATTATATGTCACTTCTCCCGCGTAGTGCACCAAGCAGAACTCCTGTATACATCACCCAGTTATTTTATCATGTTTATATTTTCGTGGTCATTTTCGACCACGGACTTACAAGATATAGTGCCAATGTATGCACCATACATCGTAGCTAATCGATCATTTTAATAATCGCATACGAAAATAATCGATTGTCCACTTACAACCATACCCGTAAATCCCATGCGATAAATTGGAGGATGAAAAGGTACAAGTACGGAGTATTTATACAAGGTTATTTTGCAATATACGGCCAAATTTGCAGATAAGGTTCAGAATAAGTAATATAGGCGAATGTTGAAGAAAAATTTATTAAAATAAAATCTCAAACATTCTGTCATTTTTATCTTTTAAATTCAGAATGCGTGGTAATGCATTATTTGAACTGATTGTCATTCATAAATATCTAGCATCTACTATTTTAGTACGCACGCACACATCCGTAAGGGTCGGCAAAAACGTGAATTGAATCGCACACAGAGGAGCGCGCATACGTGTACATAGTTGTTGCGCATAAATCACATCCAATTAGGGTAATTAAAAAAAATGTAGAAGCCTTTACTCGTATTTTCAAAAACTGCAATAACGGTATATCATTATTTATATGTTAGAACTTAAGCATAAAATTTCACTACTCTTTGAAAAGTAACCCTGTATATCATCAGTTGTATACTTCACATTGAATAAAACTAATGTTAGGGGCAAAGAGAATATAATCACTACGTTTAGTTACGGGTTTAATCGCATTAAATTTTTAACCTGGTAAAAATAACGTACGTTAGTAGTTCAATGTTTTTTTTTTAACTTTGTAGGATTTCAATAAACTCTTGAATCCGATGTGATGATGATATAACTACATCCAAAAAAAAAAATAACACAAGTTAAGAAAGTTTAGAGTTAAATAATATAGAAATATAAATAAAATGAAAAATTTCTACTTACATCGCGTCCCATAAGTTTTTGCGTTTTTGAGTCAACCTTGCGGTGTGATTTGTAATGTGCGTGTCCGTCCAGGTGTTGTGACAGCTTCTCTAGGAAGCTAGCGTCTGTCGCGTCCCCGGGTCGCAGGCATTCGTCGTCCAGAATCGAGATTATACCTGGGTCAAATTCCATACACGGTTGATTTGTTACGATACAAAGACTTATAGTTAAAATTAACTTTATAAAGTTCAGAGAGAGGACATTATTATCATACACGTCCATGAACGCAATGTATATTTCAACGTAATCTCACCTTTGTGTCTAGCTTCAATAAGATCGCAAATGACGATGTTGTTGAAGTATTCGACGGGCTCCCATGCGATGCCTTCCCTGAGGTACTCCTCTTGTTCTTGCTTCAGGGTCAGCTGGATGAACAGCTGCTGAAGCTTCTCGTTGCAGAAGTTGATGCAGAACTGCTCGAAGCTACGGACACGTATATTGGAAATGTTCATTATATAATCTTCTATATTGTAATATATTATAATCGTTGGTGTGATTGTTAGTGATCTTGTTACTTCTAAACGACTTAACTAATCAGAGCTAATAATCTTCCGATTACCAGATATCGGTGCTTGGGTCTGAGTTCAACTTATTTGTCAGATTGATATTCGCGCAGTGTTATCATCTTTTTTTTATAGGATATGGTGACCAACGAACACATAGTCCACCTGATGGTAAGTGGTTGTTGTGGCCCATAAACATCTACATCTATCCTAGTTTGCGAATCAAAATGCAGATGCGTTGTCACCCGTGAAGACTAAGTTGGAATGCCTCTTTTCCAGTAAAAAGGGTTTCCGGTTCTCTATACTCACCATACGAAACAGAGCAGTGTTAAGCTGCTATTTTACGCTAGTATTCTGTGAGAGCGTGGTCCTTCCCCGGTCGAGCCGACCCATTCGTACTACAACTATACTACTAATATAGCTGCAGTGTAGCGTTTTGCGTTTTAAATAAAATTATTTTTGGTTTCTATATATACACAAAATGTATCCTCAGTGCGCTCTTTTAATTTTTTTCACTTTTCTACCGACTTCAAAAACGAGACGGTACTCAATTCGACTGTATGTTTTTTATGTGTATAATAATTCATAACTTTTTAATGGGTCAACCGATTTCGATGGTGCTTATTTTATTTGAAAGCTGGTGCTTTACATGTGGTCCCATATAAATTTGATTAAGGTCTGACCAATAGTTTTTGAGTTATTCTTAATAATTTGTATTGAAGTCGGTTGTAGAAAATTTTAAATTTTAAATTATTTACTACATTTTTGATTCTTCTACTTTGAGGCATATGGTTTATATATATTTGGTTTATCCATTTCTAATTTAGCCTTCTATTTAGCTTTTGATTTACTGTAAACCTCACCTATTTTTCGGGAATATCTCGAAACCATAGATATCCAGGATACCAATAACGGACGCCCTCGGATCCCTTTCCTTAGGAGCGAGGGAGGCGTTAAGTCTGGAGACGAGCCAGCTGAAGTGCTTATCGTAGATCGCCTTGGCCAGAGCGTCCCTGGCGTACTGCGACTGCTCCAAATCCAGTGGTGTGTTGACAACGTCCCCTCTTGCGTCGATTGTACGGCTGGTGAGAACCTCTCGAAGTTTCAATACGTTCACTTTTAGAAGCTGTAATAAAATGATAGTAAGAGATGTGTTATACCAGTAGAGATTTACTATCGAGTACCGTCAGCACAGAAAGTTAAAGTTGTTTGCAGTGACATAAAACAATTAACGTGCTTTTTGCTAATAGAGTAAGGCTCGCCAATCTTCGTAAAATAATAACTACTAGATAATTTAGTCATATTTTAGTGATCTGTTGAATGAAAAATAATTACATTTTAATAAAACCATATATGATTTTCTAACATTTTAAATCATGATTCCAGTTGCAATAATGTAAAGAAAATGTTAGTAGCTATAAATACATTCATTCATTCATGGATTACCCCACAAGAGGGATATATTTTGTCATAGCTACGTTTAGAAGGCGGATTTGACATTATTTATTATCTCATTTATTATTTTGAGGTGTAATCCAACTATTATGTTGCTGCTCATTGTCTGTTTCATTTCTCTCTATCGCTTACGACACCCACGGAATGATAGGGGTTAGTGAATTCTCACACCGCCATTAGACGTATATAGCTCCATAGATTACATATATAATAGAAGATAGATATATAAAATATAATAGAGGCTTAATGCAAGCATAATATGTAGAGCAAATAAAAAACGATATTAACATACAATCAAAACTCTAATGAAGTTGTACAACAATTTATATGAACAATGTAGAACAATGGGCTTAGCTAAGAACCTTGTGGTACAACTTATCTAAAGAATTCCATTCATTAGGCCATACATGCGTTACATTAAGACTGCATATTTCATTGTGTTACAAAATCATTTCTAAACCTATTCAGTCTGTATATATGAGGTTGGACTTTTTTTATATAGAAGTAAACGGCGACAAACGAACATACAGTCCACCTGATGGTAAGTGGATACCGTGATTCATACTCACGTACATTTAACAATTTAGATGCGTTGTCGCCCCTGAGTACTAAGATAAAATGCATCGTTAGCAGTAAAAAGGGTATTGGTACACTCATCATACGATTGTTTTGCTACTTTACGCTGGTATTCTGTGATTGTGGTTTTTCCCTGGTCGAGCCGACTCATTCGTGGTGCAGCCAAAATTGCATTGCTTGCATGCTTGGATGTCTTTGATAATTACTAAAAGTCAATTCTTTTTCGCTTCAACAAGTCTACCTATATGAGAAGAAGGGGCAAGAACTCCACAAGTAGACTATTTTACTACCAGTTAAGATTTTTATCTTATAAAATATAGAGGGTTACAGGTTAAGTCGACCTAGATCCGTTAAGGGTTATAGTGTGCATTATTTCTGACTGATTTGTCTATCAAACACCCAACCTGAAAAACCAAACACCCCAACCTGAACTGTTTTTTTTTTAAATACAGGACTTTAGTGTTTTCATAAAAAAGACCAATTTTTTGTCTATTGTCAATTTATTTTGTAATTAGTGCCTCTAATATATTTGATTTTTCAATTTTTGTGTAGTAAATAAGTTGTTTTATTATTCTCAACACCAACATTGCAAGTAACGTACGCGTAGATTGAAGGTTGTTATGGTGTTTGATAGTCAAACCAGTCAGAAATGACGCACACTACAACTCTTTAATGGATCTAGGTAGATTTAACCTGTAACCCTGTATACATAAGTAAAAAAAAAGTCTAAACAAGCTTACTATGTGCATGCATTCTTTTTTTTAATTAATCTTTCATGCAAAGGCAAATCAGTGATATTACAGGGACTCTTGTTATGAATGGTTATGGGTACATCTAACTAAAGTGAGCTACCAGCTTAACGAAGATTGTACTTTGAAACAGTAAGTTTAGATTAAAATCGCGTGTTAAAATTATGACATCACTCATTTTATCAAAGGTATTAAAATAGTTTCATACATAAATAATATCATTCAAAACGAATTGTGCAGTAACAATTAGGATATTAATTGCTGAGTAAGAAATCTTAAAAATATTTATGAGTAAGTCGCTTGGTCATTAGTAAATAGTTTAAATAGTGTTGTAATAATCTTAATCAATTTGCTAAGTACTCTATCGGATATGATTAACATTGAAAAAGTATAAAACCTAGATAAACATCAACTTTTTAAAGTCCGTCTCCATGTGTGTAAAGTTTTAATTGTGTAAGTCAATCTGGCTGGTGAAAAAATTTGCAAATTCAATAGTAAAATTATCGATCAACTCACGTCGGCCACATTTCCAGTGTTGGCATCGTGTGATAGGATCTCGGCGTATCCTTTGTCGTTCTGCACGAATTTTACATTTCCAAGATGCAGTACACTCGCGACTATCTCGAACATCTCCCTCTGCTCTGTCTCTCCGATCTCAATCACTTTCATCGCCTCTTGGACGATCCGAAACTGGTCGGCGTCGTTTGTCTTCTGAATAAACGTCGAATGCTGCAAAGATTTTAAGAATGTTAAAACGTTACATTTAGAAGTGATTATATCTGTAGCTTTCTTTGTTTTCACTTTATAGCTCCTATTCCAATGAAAGCGTGTGTTTATTTTTGGGACAGTCTTGCATTTTAATGAAAAGGGATAAATGATTATTATGCCTTAAGATTGGAGGAAGTTCAGGTGTTGTGAAAGAGTTGCAAGGACAATCATACAATCAAATTTTTTTATCAATATAATCCACGCCAAATTGAACCTAGCATAATAAGCTGTGGGTGCTAATGAGAGCATCCACAACTTTTTCTGCCACCAGGGCGGCGCCACTTTACAGTGAGGTAAAATATTTGACAGAGTTCATAGCGGGGACGATAATTTCTTAGGAAAATGTAATATTTAAGGTTTCTTTCCGTATTGTTAATTATATTTTATATTAATTACATTAGAAATGATTAAACCAAACTATAAATATAACTTAAAGTAGAAAAATTAAAAAAAAAAGTTATAAAGTGCAAAAAATTAAAAATCAAGCCACTGACGCATTGTGTTGTATATTAATATAATACTCTAGATAATGATGAACTATTATTTAAAACTAATTTCTCAATTAACTGACACTATGTAACGAAAAACTTTACCTCAGTCACAACTAGCGACATCTGGTGAGTTGAAGATTATTAGCCTTCATTGGTTCACAATTCTTATCCGCATTTTATCTAAATAAATAAATCTAAGTGTTCCTAAACTCTTACCAAAGGATATTTTGGCTTTCAAGCAGTAGTTGAATCTGAAGGAATTTAGTGAAATGATTGATCCTTAAATTAATTAGTATTCGGTTCTTTTTATAATAAACTTACCGTGTCAGTCGTGTATTTGTACGCTTCAGGCCTTCCTTGAAGCTTCAAATGCTTTATTAATTCTTGATCGGCGCCAGCCAATAGCTGGTAGAAAATATGGAAATTTCTTTCGCCTGTCATCTGACTCACAACTCTTGACTTTTCTAGAAGGTAGTTCAAAATATGTCCTCCCTCGGGAGCTCCTTCATAGTTGAATTGAATGTCCATGTACTTTCCAAAGCGACTTGAATTGTCATTACGATGTGTTTTGGCGTTACCAAAGGCTTCAAGGAGAGGATTGCTTTGCAGGAGTTTGTCCTTGACGGTCTCCACATTGCGAATATGGTTTGTTCTGGCTGCGATGTATTCTAGAACTTTCTTAGATGCTTCAGTTTTACCTGACCCGGATTCGCCTATAACATAATTAGAAATCCATAATTGACCAAACTTACATAAATAATAATCCGTTTTAAGAAGTATGGCGAGTGTGACTAAGGTTAGTCCGAATACTACAACATAAGGAGTTTTTTCGTATGGCACTTAAATTTTATTAAAAAGGATTTAATTGTGTGTTCTGTGGTACTCATATTAATCAACAGAAATTATAAAGCATCATTAGCGTTCTGTGTTAGAATTTATATGCAGATGTCGGTGAGTTGCAGTTAACCAACTACCCATCATTGGGACTGCAAGCTCATTACTCAATTAGATGTTATAAAAATACTTCACGTTTCTGGTTAATTTACTTACCCGAAATCAAAATACATTGTTCCCGGTGCTCGAACATCAACGATCGGTACGCATTATCTGCAATCGCAAATCTGTAAAAAAATACATCTGTTACATTGATATCTTTCTCATTAATCCGTCCGGCAGACGTTTATTTGACGTTTTCGGTAGGTGGCTAGATGAGATTCAGAGAAAATTCATTCAGACTTTTTACAGTGTGAATAAAATAACTTATTAATCACGTGACTACTGCACTTATCGGGTCAAATTTTGTGATTACTTTCGGTATCATCATTCATCATCATTACAGCCCTTCACAAGTCCACTGCTGAACATAGGCCTCCCCCAAAGAATGCCACAAAGCACGGTCCTGAGCCACCTGCATCCATCGACTTCCTGCATGTCTTACCAGGTCGTCACTCCATCTCGTGGGGGGACGCCCTACACTTCGCCTACCGGTACGAGGCTGCCACTCGAGAACCTTTCTTCCCCATCGGTTGTCGGTTCTTCGAGCTATATGGCCGGCCCACTGCCACTTCAGCTTACTAATCCGTTGGGCTATGTCGGTTACTCTGGTTCTACTGCGGATATCCTCATTCCTAAGTTTATCACGCAGAGAAACTCTGAGCATAGCCCTCTCCATAGCTCGCTGAGCGACCTTGAGCTTCCTCATACGGCCAGCAGTGAAGGACCACGTCTCAGTTCCATAAGTCATCACTGGCAACACGCACTGGTTGTACAATTTCGTTTTCAGGTTTTGAGGTATGTCTGACGAGAAGATGTGTCGTAGCTTCCCGAACGCTGCCCAGCCGAGTTGAATCCGTCGATTGACATCTCGGTCGAAGTTGGACTTACCTAGTCGGACTATTTGTCCCAGGTAAACATACTCATCAACAACTTCGAGCTTAGTGCTCCCAACAACTACCGGCATAGGTGTGACATGGACATTGAACATGATCTTTGTTTTGTCCATGTTCATCTTAAGACCTATCCGTTGGGAAACACTATCGAGGTCATTGAGCATAGTGCTTAGGTCCTCCAGCGATTCTGCCATAAGGACTATATCGTCGGCAAATCGAAGGTGAGTGATGTACTCGCCATTGATGTTGATACCGTATCCTTTCCAGTCCAGAAGCTTGAAAACGTCTTCCAATGCAGCGGTGAAGAGTTTCGGGGATATGACGTCACCCTGTCTTACACCTCTCTGCAATTGGATAGGTTTCGTACTCTGGTTCTGTACTCGGATAGCCATCGTAGCCCTACTGTACAAGCACTTCAACACTTCGATATACCGACAGTCAACTTGGCACCGCTGAAGGGACTGCAGCACCGCCCAAATTTCGACGGAATCAAAGGCTTTCTCATAGTCCACATACGCCAGACATAGTGGCAAATTGTACTCTTCGGACTTCTGTACAATTTGCCGAAGGGTATGTATGTGGTCTATGGTGCTAAAGCCCTTTCGGAAACCGGCTTGTTCGGGAGGCTGGAAGTCGTCAAGTCTGCGCGCGAGACGATTCGTAATGACTCTCGAAAACAGCACGTAGACGCGGCTCAGAAGGGAAATCGGTCTGTAGTTCTTCAAGAGAGCGTTGTCACCTTTCTTGAAGAATAAGACCACCGCACTTCTGCTCCACGCCTCCGGTGTTATGCCACCATGGAGGACGGAATTAAAGAGCTTCTGAAGGACTTCAAGTACCGGTCTTCCACCCGCTTTCAGAAGCTCCGCTGTAATTCCATCCTCGCCTGGGGCCTTACCGTTTTTAAGGTGCTGGAGAGCCATTCTAATCTCGCTCAGACTGACGTCCGGGATATCTTCGGAATAGTGTCGGATGAGACTCGCTCTTGGATCGTTACTCACACTTGCGTGTGGCTCCAACGATGACGTGTACAGCTGCCCATAGAACCTCTCAATCTCACTCAAAATCTCAGGTGTCCCGGAAACGATGCTGCCACATCCTGTCTTCAGCTTTGACAGGTGGCTCTTTCTGGCAGACAGATCTCTGGCAAAGACTTTGGAGCCTTGGTTCCGCTCGATTGCTTCTTCAATACAAGCTGTATTGAAGTTGCGTAAGTCCCGCCGCATGCATTTGGAGATCTGTCTGTTCAGATGCCTGTATGCTGTCAAGTCTGTTGAAGAATGTAGCTTCATCTCCCGTCTAACAGCCATTAGATTAAGAGTGTTATCGGAGAGTTTTTGTGTTCTTCTGCGGCGGGTCTTGCAGAACTTAGCTCCGACCGCATGGACAGTTTCCACGAGCTTGTCATTCATATCGTCCACTTCATTGCAGTCTTCTAGGCACTGAAAACAGTTTTGTAACTCGAGCTGAAAGGTTTCGGGACTTTGGAACAGAGCACGAGGGGGACGGAGCGTTGACTTCATTAGACGAGACCTCTCCAACTTAACGTTTAGGTTCAGTGTGCCTCTAACCATTCGGTGATCGCTACCAGTTTTCACCCTCGCGATCACGGAGACATCACTGAACAGTTGTCGTCTGGTAGTCATAATGAAGTCAATCTCATTTTTTGTCGAACCGTCGGGGCTCGACCAGGTCCATTTCCTGTGGGGCCGCTTCTGGAAGAAAGAGTTCATCATAAAGAGTCCCTCTTTCTCCATGAAGTCGGCCAGCTGCTGGCCCCTTGGGTTCCGTTGCCCTATTCCAAATTTCCCTACTTTCAGCTCACCGTTCTCTCTTGTGCCTAGTTTTGCGTTGAAGTCTCCCATTAACACCGTATATTGGGTTTTGGAGGAATGCATGGCTCTAGAGATATCCTCATACATTTCCTCCACCTCCCCATCGGGGTGTGCCAAGGTTGGTGCGTAAACCTGTATGACCTTCAGCGAATACCGTTTGGTGATTCTGAGTATAAGGTACGCAACCCTCGTCGACACACTCCCGATCTTTACAACGTTGTTAACGAGAGACTTGTGGACGATAAATCCGACACCTCCTTGGGACAGATGGTCGCCCTCCCGGTGATAGAGCAAGTTGCCGGATTCGAGGATTACCGTGTCCTCCCCCTCTCTTCGGACTTCGGATAATCCTATAATATGCCAGCGCAACTTGTCTATCTCTTCTTCCAGCTCCACAATCTTCTCGTCAGTCCTCAGGGTACGTGCGTTGTACGTTGCCAGGTCGAGTCGTCTAAGGTGGCAACCGAACCTCCACCGGAGATTCTTAGCACCCCCTGCCCCGCCGTTACCATGGTCGCCACCGTAGCCAGGAATAGCGGGGCCGCCGGGGACTGGGGGCCGTTTCTTTGTTACTGTCATTCATAGGGGGGTATTTGCCATAGTTGCCACGCTTGGCGAGCGGATTGGCAACCGCAGTTTTTTTATTGTAATTTTGGCTATTATCAGGAAGATGCTGCTGCCCATCTCCTGCCTGTTTCCCTTTGTCGCCTTTTACGACACCCACGGGAGGATATGGGGTAATGGTATTCTTGACCGCCACTACATGTTAATACTTTCGGTATAAACCAACATAATTATTATGTTAAGAATATTGGTCAATTTGGTAATTTTTGTCCATAAATATAGAATTTGTTAATAATTTGATTACAACGCCACCTATCGCCTAGCGGATCCTAGTCGGTTTGACCTCAATCGAACATCAATGATAAGACTAGTTAGTTCGATCTCCGCCGGCACTGTTGAAATTTCTTCATGCAATTTTAAGTGCTAATTTGTCAAGTGTTTGATAGTGAAGAAAAACATCGCAACGAAACTCACAGACCTGGAAAATGTTATACTCCGAGGACATGTTCAGTCTGTCAACATGTACCGAATCATTTCAGCGCAAAAACCTGCTCAGAAATGAGAGAAGGTCCTGTTACTAGTATTGGGACGTTTATAGTCTTAGGCTGTAACGTTTTCTATGTGGAAAAAAACTAAAAACAAATAATTATTAAGTATTGTTGTATTGTTTCAGTACCTATCAATGATTTAGATTACCTAAGTACAAGTAACAGACTAACTGATACAGACTATCATATCGTTATCTGTGGTCGATAATACTTGAGTAAAGTAGTTCATTGGAATAGATATCCATACATTGTTTCGCGGTGATGGTAATTAGGACCAGGAGGTTAGGATGGGTTGCAATAATGGACTTTACGTTAACTTTATCGCCTAATGATCGCATATAAAATCGTATTCGTATTTACGCGAACACTGCAGATTGAATAAATGTTTAATTTTAATTTGTTTTCAACTTCCGTCGCTTCGAGTGCGTTGACGCAACCAAAGAGAATATAATCACTACGGACGCAACTACGAAAATATATTATAGTTAATGCGATAAAATTCGTAAAAGTAGTTTTATTTAACGAAAAGAATACGCTACTCTCTGACGAGAGATATAACGATTTTTATCTCGGACTTGCATGATTCTAACGTGTATTGACTCTATATTTTGTCTAGGAAAACAGACAATTAAAACCTTAACAACTATGAAATGCATACTCATTTATGTTCAATTAAGTGAAGCACGAGCATAAACGAGCCTACAGTTCACGGATACATAAAATACAAAATTAAATTTATCTAACGGTAAATGAATACCGTGTTCGGAAACCTTCAGCTATCCCCAATTAAGAATCATTTTCATTGCTATGCGATTATTATGGCCTTAAACCTACATCTATCCTCGATTAATAATCAAAATTGCTTTACGTTATCACCAAAGAGGATCCAGAATGAAACAAAAAAGGGCCTTTGGTACTCGTCATTTATTGTACGAAACACAGGTGCATGGTGTTGCTGTCCACCGAGCTAACTTATTTATTTACTGTCATTGTTACAGCTTATAAAAGTCCACTGCTGAACAAAGGCCTCCATCAGGTTGCCTCCTATTGGAAATATTTGCCCTAGTTGCCACGCTTGGCAAACGGGTTGGATACTGCAGTTTTTTTATTTTTATTCGTAATTAAAAAGATGCTGCTGCCCATCTCCTGATTTGTTTCCCTCTGTCGCCTCTTACGGCACCCACGGGATGATATGGGATACCACCTTTTCTTGTATATTTTGTATTTTATTGTTATTTGCATTACATAGCTCCAAGGTTCCGTATCTCAATAATGCGATCAATAAAACTGATAGCTATTTATCATACGCTATCTACATGAGACTACATTATTTGTATCAGCTGGACCTTTCCGATTGGGCATCGACATTAATATCTTTATCAATGCGTTGTTTGTTGCTCACGATTCCGGTCTCACGATGACAAATAACTCAAATGAGCACATCATAGAAGTCATGGCAGCACATATTATAACACCACCTTTATACTTTTGTGTTTGTGTTTCTGCACAAACGCTGGCTGTAGCTTGGATTTGAGACCAAGACCCGCGATTTTCTGATCACTTAGCTTTCTATGTTACATACTTCTGATCCTTTACTTTCATAAGCCCATCAATAGTCTATTGCCGGACATATAGATTTTCCTTATAGTAGGGAGGATATACCTTAATTGCGAAAATTTGCACGTAAATTAGCGATAGGTATCTCGCACGTTAGATGCTAATTATTATCACTTAGAAATTTTATATCAGGAATAAAAGTGGGATGGTTATTTATCTTAGAACCAAAATAGGTCTTCTTGGCAAGAAAAAAGTTGCTTCCTACGACATCTATGGAAATCTGTGATGAGATGACGATTTCTCTAATGCCACCACTCCACGGCTGCTTAATACTTTAGTAAAAATAAACCGAAAATGTAGGAAAAGGGAAAACTTACAAATGTAAATAAATATCTCCCAAACCGTCGTGGCGGTCAGTCTTGACGGAAGCAAGCCATCTATGCGGGACAGGATTATAGTGCGTACAGGAGCATTCTTTATCGCCCTTACTCTCATATTCCGATAAGGGACGGCAATCCGAAGCACCAGAAGAGATATCAGATGAAGTACCAACGGTTTTACGTGTTTCCCAAGGCACAGGGTATAACGAAGTCTACTCCGTGTGGTCACTAAGAATTTCTTGACAGAAAAAACCAATAACAGAATTTCTCCCGATCCGGGATTCGAACCCGAGACCATATTGACAAGCAAGGCTACAGCAAGGTTTACGACTACTAGAGCAATGAGACAGACGTAATTGATCAATCTTTATGATAAGAAATTAAAATACATACTTTTATAGAACATAAACTATTGGGTAGTGATCAATATAGATATTGAGACTGCTTTTGAGATACTTACACATGAGGTGGTGCTTCAAAGAAAGCTTTGTTGTAGTAAAGTTTAGCCTTGTCCTCCGTATAGATGGGCAGGTTCTTGTAGGGATTCACAGAAATCAGCACGTTACCAATGTAGGTCTAATAAAGAAAACATATAACACTTTCATTAATTACATTTTACTAATGGTTTCCGATGGGGCGTATATTGGGTCCACATTAATATATCAACAATTTCCTTACGATGAAAATATAACACAGAAAAAATAAAATCGATTTAAATGTAGCACACTGAGATTAAGGTTAGTTTAAAAAAAAAAAACAATCGAATTGTTAGGTAATGATTCAATAAACAAACAGTTATTAGTTTCTTTTGAAAATTGGTTAACTACTATCATAATAAAAATGATGTAAAATATTATATGGTAAAAAGGGCTTTATGGCACTTATGGCACTTCTAACTTAAAAGTGGGGTTGCTGTGGCTAGTCCTATAATAATCCTATGGTGAGTAAAAACCTTTTTATATAGATGATATGGTTAATAGAATCAGGCGTTACTTCGCGGAAATCCATTATATAAAAGCTTTTAGAAAAATTTACTTCGCAAATATCCGCGTTATAAAATAAAATGATGTGTCTTACCTAGTATGAAGAGCATAGACTCTACGGTGGCTAACCGCTAAACTTAGCGGTTAGCCACCGTAGAGTCTATATCACATGAGGATGCCTCGTGAAGAGGCGAAACACGTGTCGTATTATCGTCAGTGGTGTGTCTTGCCTAGTGTAGTGGTGTTGGGAGTAGCGGTGCTGGGGTTAGTGGTGACGGGGATAGTGCACGCAATTGAGGGAGGGCGGGAGGTGCTTGTACGCGTGTATCCATAAGTTTATTATAACGATAAATATAGGAAAACTTACCTAATTACATAGGTTTGCATTTCAGGATACATATTATAATATATTTTTATTTAATACAGTGAGTAGATGGCGGTGAGTATTTTTATAGAGTAAGGGTGACCAACGAGCACACATATCACCTGATAGTAAGTGGATACTGACACCCATAGATATCTACTTCTATCCTTGATTAAGAATAAAAATGCGTTGTCACTCTTGAGAACTACGTATACGCCCTCACCATATGAAAACCAGCAGCTCTTTCACGTTGGTATTCTGTGAGAACGTGGGATCCTACCTCGGTTGAGCCGACATAATAATTAGCTGCAATAATGTACAATGTATAACTATAGCATGATTTTAGTACGTCAAACGTAACACTCCGCTATAAACATCTTCCGTAGTCGTAGGTAGATCAGGGGCTAGGCACTTGCAGTAAATTTCACATTAGGTACTTATGCAACCCAGGTTCGATCCCTGCCGGTACCAATGAAATTGTTAATTGCAAATTTAAGTGCTGATTTATCATGTGCTCGGCGGTGAAGGAAAACACCCTCGGTAAATCTGCACATCTGAGGAACTAACGAACAAATGCTTCTAGGAAATATGTAAAGTCTGCCATCAGGTACTGAACAAGCGGGCTGTTTATCACTCCAGAATCCTCTTAGAAAATGAAAATAAGAGGAGGCTTCTATCTGCAGTGGGACGCTATAACTTTTAAATTTATTTATTCATTTATTCGCTTACACCTTAGCAAAGGGTTAGGAAAAGCAGAGTAAATAAATAAAAAAAATGAGGCATTCCCTCCCAGTCAACACTGACGTTTGAAAACGTTTTAAAAAGAAATTTTAACTACGCATACATGCTCGTCGGTTAAACGTACTCCTAATCTGGCCCATTTTCTACCAACTTCAAAAAGGAGGAGGTACTCAATTCGGCTGTATGTTTTTTTGTGTATTACCTAATTACATTTTTTTAGGTGAATCGATTTCGATGATCATTTTTTATTTGAAAGCTGGTGCTTCTTATATAATCCCATATAAATTTGATCAAGGTTTGACCAATCGTTTTCGAGTTATTCTTAATAATTTATATTGAAGTTAAATTATCAATATATTCCCAATTTAGTCGATAAGCTTTCGTCTAGGCCGTCCCTTCCCGGCTCTGCTATTCACAGCAGTAATATAGATTTGCTTTTTCATTATTTCCTCCTTTATTAATTCTACATGATCAAACCACCGAAGCATTCCTTTCTTAAGCCTGGTCACAACATCATCTTTCCACACTTTTGTCTTATCACACAATTTCTTACCCTGAATCTGAATGAAAATTCAGATTCAGTCCTAAGATACTCCTTAATGACCGCATTTCTACAGCATTTATTCTACTCTCATGCTTCTTTTGCCACACCCAACATTCACTACCATACATTAGTAGTATTTGTAGTACTAACACAGCCTTATGAATTGCAATACGTGCTTTTTTAACACATTCTTTCCTTTTTGACACATTCTACCCTTAACCGACGAGCATGTATGCGGAAGTATATGGATGTGGAGGAAGCGAAAGAGATGTGTCAGGATCGTGCCAAATGGAAGTCCATAGTCGCTGCCTATCCCTTTGGGTGACAGGCGTGAGTGTATGTATGTATGTATTTTATTAAGATTTTAACTCTATCTACAAATCTATTTTTGATTAGATTAACTAAATAATACGCACATAGATGATGTTCTCGTTGAACCTCTTCCTTAAGTTGTCGATGAAGGCTGCCTCGGAGGTGTAGTCTTCCAGCAGGACGAAGTCCTGCACGCCGACGCGCTCGCGGTGCTGAAGCGCGTGCTCCATCACGCCTTGCACCGACACTGGCCGGTGAAGCCTGTTGACAATCAACCGCTGTAGTACGCATATATCGTACAAGACTACAACTAAATTAGCTAGGGTTTTAGGTTACTTTATTTTCGAAGCGCTTGCTCAGTAAGAACATAATCGCCCCGGTTATGTCTTCTTCCAAAGTAAAGCATACCTTCCGACCGATCCCTGCCGTTTTAGAATATTCTTCAAAATATTTTTGAGAATTTTATATCTAACTGGATGTGAAGGTTAAAGATAATTTAAGTTTCCTAAATATAGGTTACTAAGTAACCTAACTAGGACTGAATTCTACGAGAATTCTACCCATCTCAAGTTATAATTACTATGTTTCACATGATTTAATGTAAATCATCGTTACAAATCTAGTAAACTTAACTGTAAACATGTCAATAAAGAAATTATTAATTTACATTCCAACAACAATAAATGTTATTGAATTATTTATAACAGAAGTATTTATTTATAGTAAAAGTTCTCACGCTGACAAATGATAAGAACATATAAAAGGTTCGTGGAATACTTCACACATTACAATACGTCTTATCGGAACGAACGGTTCAATGTTTCACGTATGTATACTATAGCAGTTAATGTTTATGTCTATCAGAGTATAATATTAAAACTAAATGGATTGTGAACATCATAACGTATTAATTATAGTAATATATAATAGATTTTTTTATAGGATAGGGTGACAAACGTGCACACAGTCCACCTGATGGTAAGTGGTTGCTGTGGCCCATAGACATCTACATCTATCCTGGTTTGCGAATCAAAATGTAGATGCGTTGTCACCCGTGAGGACTAAGATGGAATGCCTGTTTTCCAGTAAAAAGGGTCTCCGGTTCTCTACACTCACCATACGAAACACAGCAGTGTTAAGCTACTATTTAACGTTGGTATTCTGTGAGAGCGTGGTCCTTCGCCGGTCGAGCCGACCCATTCGTGCTACAACTATACTACTAATATAGCTGCAGCATGGCTCTACCAAGTAAATAATTACAGTATCTTTACCTACTCAACTGCCGTTTAAGGAAGATTGTGTTGCGGATGTAAGCATGTATGTACGGCAGGCCCCACATAAAGTTTTTTGTACGTACAACGTAAAGTTTTAGTAAGTACAAAATACGAATGTTCCAATTTTGAATTTCTTTTCACAATTTTTACAAGTTAAATTGAAATATCGTATTTTGTTTAAAAATAGATCTGCATCGGGATCGGGAAAATTTTCACGAGTTGATTTTTACGGTTTCAAATGTCGCCTAAAACCAGACAGATCATTTGATAGACTTCAAGTGGCAACCGTGTAAGTCTGGTATAACAAATTACAGCACGGTCGATTAAATTTGAGTGATGAAGAAAGAAGTCGTCCCCTTTAACGGCTTTTACGGAAGAAAAGAGCTAGCAGTGAAAAGTTAAATCGAAGAGAATAGGCGAATTGAGTATGAAGAGATTCAGCACATTCTGCAAATTGGATTGGGGAACGTTCTCGAGATTTTACACAAACAGCTGTGCGTGTGGAAGATAGTTTGCGTTGGGTGCCGTACTACTTTTTATTATTACATTCTTATAGAAAGAAAAAATCAATGGCAATAATTGGTAAATGTTTTAAAAGAAAATAGCAGTTGTAGTATATATACATACAAAAATGGTATTACTTAGTGTAATAAAAGTATGTTCAGAGATAAGTTTGAATTAATTGCAGAGTTTTTTTGGATTTTAATTTACAAAAACTACGACACACGTAGTTTATTTAAAATTATAAATGTATCTTACCGGAATTTAGCAATGCGATACAACAATCCTTGACAATCTTTAACTTCACTGAATCCCATTTCTGAACGCAAGAACAGACATGGGTCTTAATTGGAATCCGTTTCTAAACTGATTGGACGGTCAGAAAAATATAAATAATTGTTAACGTAACGACTTTCCTGGGAACGGAGAGATAAGGTACGGATGTTGCTCGGATATCAAAAGTTTAGAGCTGCGTTAAACACTAAATCAACTGTTTACAACTGAACATGGTGTGATATTTCGCGCGCTTTAGTTTTGTTAATGGTCAGCTTTAACAGTAAAAATACCTTATTTAAAAAAAAGTGTGACATCTTGTGGCCAGCAGTGTGAAAATTTAATTAAAATAGTTATATTTGTTTTCTTTGGAATTTTTAAAGGTTATAATGGGTTATTTTAGGTGAGCCGTTATAGTTCAGGAGCTAAGCGCTCGCTGTAAATTTCACGGTACGCGAGCATCCCGCGTTCAATCCCAACATCACCAATGAAATTGTTAATTTCAACTGTAAGTGCTGATTAACCACGTGCTCGATGGTGAAGGAAACATCTTCTGATTCGAACCACTTATGAAGTGAGAGAAGGCCTGTAATCTGTTTCCAGCTGTGGGACGTATATTGGCCGTAACGTTACTTTATACTTCTTACTCTAATTATATTATACTTTATATTTCTATATACGTCGATTTGAATTATTTAAACTATTTCGAAGCTGTTATTAAATGACGTGATATAGATTTAAAAAAAGATTAATTAGTACATTTCCACCTGCTTATTTAAATATGGAACGGTCCTTGGCGTTTTAATGACCAGGGGTTTGTGCGCCATTAATAATAAAGTACAGTACTTATTTGGGGCCATGGCCCCTGTTTTCGTCAGTAGGGCCAAGCATGATGTAATATTATAGATAAGTGACACATACATAGAAATAGTGACAGGACATAATATTGTGGTGACTCAACCACATAACGTTTATTTTTAAAAGCAGATTAAGGGGGATTTCATCCAGCCCTGTTACGAATTATAATTTAAATAGTATTTAAGTTACTATTTTTTTGCAGATTGCTGACAAACGAATAAGTTCACCTGATGTTAAGTGCATGCTATGGTCCATAAACATTTACATTTATCCTCGAATCAAAAATGTAGATGCGTTGTCACCCCTGAGGACTAAGATGGAATGCCTCGTTTCCAGTGAAAAGGGTGTTCGGTTCTCTACACTCACCATGCCGACTCATTTGTGTTACAACCATGCTATATAGCTGTAGCGGGACTCTACCACGTAAAAATATTTTAGTCCCCAAAATTTTCTTATTTGTACTGTTAGTAGGTAAAATTTATTTATTTCCGAAAGTAATGATGAAGGAGACTACCATGACATGATTTATCAGAGGAAAATCCAAGACAAACAGGACAAACAATCTGATGTTTATGGACACGAAGAAATTATATTATACATATAAAGTAACCGTTTTACTGTAACTTTATTGATATATATTTAAAAAAAAAAGATCATTTATAGATAATCATGTATTAGAAGTGGAGTTTTTAAATTAGTTTTGTATTTTTTTAAACTTTTATAATTAAAAAGTTGTACGCCAACGAAAACGTTGAATTATGCCATATTCTATGAGTAGGAATGTATTATGAAATTATATACAGGGTATTTTTGGAACGCTCCCGAAAACTAAGACAGGCGACAGCACCAAGTATACCTTTGATCATGGGTCATAAATAAATTTGATCCTGATGAAAAAAAAAAACATATTTTTACAACGTTTTATTAGCTTTATTCACGCGTCATCATGTTAGTACAGCTAAATGAAACGATAATTTCATAAAAAAAATCATGAAAAGACTGAAACATAAAACCAGCAGTGGAAACTGAATTGATATCACCTGACTAATGGAGGTTAATGTACGCGCGAACGGTGAAAAAAGAACGCTGGCCTTGAACTTGGGCACTGAGCGATTTATCACATATTGGCCAGTATTACTGTGCCTGCATGCTATTGGTTCCCGCGCTTTGTTCGCTCCAAAAATACAGTCGCATACACAGCTTACTTTGCGACTCGCGACGATGTTTTAAAAAGGAAGGAAAAAAAATTATTTATATCTATTGTTTTATGACTAAACTAGTGAACAAAAAGGTAAATATGATAGGAGAAGGTGAATGGGGAAAATTGTGCAGTAAAGTTAAAATTGTTGAGGAAGAATACCGAAAAAATTACCATGTGATCGACCTGATGACGGAAGCTCAAGCGAAGATGAAAGTAATGATGAAGTAGCATCCAGTAACACCAACACACCATCAACATCTGGCTTCCATGTGACCCAAGACGTCATAATGGACGGCGTGTCACCCTTAGCTTAAGTTTCTTTGTTACAAACTACTTTATATTTTACGATAGAAATAACAAACAATGCTCAAGTAAACATTATCTATTTTTAATTCCCACCTCTTCCAAAGTTCTAAGTAGCTAGTAAAACACCTATTATGATTCTACAATAAAACAATTAATTACTATAATATTATAAAACAATAGCCCAATACCATGTAGTACTTTAGAACGCGACTGTACCCACACTCACTCGAAAAAAGGGCGCATGTAACAATTTTCGAATAAATGAGTTAAATATACCATTCGACTCATGATAAGAAGACGCATCTACTAAATTTTTTTAATATTCACTAATATCAATATTTTAGAAATTATCGTCAGAATTTTAGACGTAGCTGTTGATCACAGATGACATTTTATTAGTAGAAAAGACTTATACAAATTCAACATAAAAGAAAAGACTTATTTAACCAGTTGCTACGTCATCTTTAACAATATTTGCATCGATTACTTAAATTTAAATTATTCTTGTCTTATTATTTTATATCTTATTATTAAGAGCTTATATCTTATTATTAAGAGCTGGTGTTTCACATGTGGTCCCATATAAATTTGATCGAGGTCAGACCAATAGTTTTTGAGTTATCCTTAATTATTTATATTAAAAGTCGGTTGTACAAATGTTTTAATTTTTAATTATTATCGTAGTAAGTCTTGTATGATATCCCCTTTAAAATCATTACTCAAGAGTTGCGGGTTGTTATTTTTTGTGTCTCACTACTAATGCTTTTCTAATATTTACTAAGAAAAAAGTAGTAAATTACTATTAGCGTCCTCTCAACTTCAAATGACCTTTCCAAAATATGTAAAAATGTTAAATGAATGGTAGTTTTGTTTTATTTATTAGGTTGGGAAGACCCAAATAGTTATATGCGTCTTTCCTTCGATGTTTTTGTGTTGCCAGGTGTATTTTTTAATCTAAGATGAAAAGGAAAATTCGTTTTATTTAAATAAATAAACAAATTTAAAAAAAAATAAGTTCGTCCTTAAAATCTTCATGTCTCTACGTATATATTTCAATATAGATACCTTTTAATATACTTTAGACACGGGGTCTGAAAGAAAAATTCATCGATTTATTTTTTATTTCCATTTTACGTTTTTGTTAGTTACTTCCTTTTTTATTATGACGGCAGAATGCCTAACCCTGTCGCCTCACGCTTGTGACGCAGTTCGTTCGTTTTAGTTTTTGAGACAGTTGATTTTGTACACGCGTGCGCGAGCGACAGTTCAATCGTTTTGTTTAATAAATTTACTTGTGATTACGTGTTGATATTAAAGTTTTTGTTACGTTTTTGGATTCTTTTTTGTTTTAATAATGCCTAACGCGTACGTTTATAGTGGTTATTATACTGCCGTTGGTTATTATATCAGCAACAACGTGTGCCTGGTTCCATTGAGCACATTATCTGGACGGATGAGTCGACATTTACCAGAAACGGCCTGTGGAACCGAAGAAATACACACGTGTATTCAGAGGTTAACCCGCACGCTGTTCGACAAACCGGGCACCAAACCCGATGGTCGGTTAACGTATGGACAGGTTTATTTAAGGATCGCATACTGGGACCAGTGTTTCTGCCAGAGCGACTGAACGGACAGCGATACCTAAACTTTATAATTGAACAGTTGGTTGACATTTTAAACGACCTATCGTTGGCTGAATATCGCCGCACATAGTTCCAACATGATGGTGCCCCTCCACATTTCGTGAGGTTCGTCCGTGAGCGCCTCAATGAGCTATTTGATGATCGCTGGATCGGCAGACTAGGACCACACGCTTGCCCACCTCGCTCACCAGATCTGACTCCGTTAGACTTCTTTTTGTGGGGTATGTGAAAGAAAGGGTTTTTAATCGTGAATGTGATAGTGCTGAAGAAATGCGCCAAAGGATCGTGGATGCTTTCGAGAAACTACGTACGGACTGTGTCGAAGACCACACGATGATGCCCCGCCTGCACCCAAGTCTGCCTTGAAATGAATGGAGCACAATTTGAGCCGCATCTCATAAGACCACGGAGGATTTAGAGCAGTAAGCTGTTTCATAACTATTTTTTTTTTAAAAACTTAGTACTAGACTAATCTGAATAGGTACATAACTGAATACACGAGAATAATAAACATACCTACACGATGAATAAAAACGCATGACTCAAACCTTGGTTACATTTCATTTAAGTATTTCTTCATTAGCGGGGAATCGAACCAGTTATTTGGGTTATTTAACCTGTAAATTCGGATTAAAGTGGCTACGTGGAGATAAGCACAGTGGCAAAATAGTAGGTTAAGTAGATAAGTTAGGTATTTAGACACGTGTTGTAAATTATTAGGTATTGTGGGAAGGCCCGCTAGTTGCGGGCCGCGCGAATTTGTGTTCGCGCGTACATTGACCTTTATCTAGCTCAGGTCAGGTGATATCAATTCAGTCATTCCACTGCTGGTTTTATGTTTCAGTATTTTCATGATATTTTTTATGAAATTATCGTTTCATTTAGCTGTACTAACATGATGGCGCGTGAATAAAGCTAATAAAACCTTGTAAAAAGATGATTTTTTTTTCATCAGGATCGAATTTATTTGTGACCCATGATCAAAGGTATACTTGGTGTTGTCGCCTGTCTTAGTTTTCGGGAGCGTTCCAAA